AAATCCCCAGCCCATTAAAACCCTTTTTGACCACACCTGATTTTATGCCTGTGCACTTCTTCAGGTGGGGCCACTAGAAAGACCAGATACCTGATTAGAGGGTGAGGAGTTTTAGCCCCATCTCCTGACATCCAGGGAGGGCAGCAGAGCAGGAGACTGTGAGGTATAGAACCTCTTGAACAAGAAATACAAGCACATCAAATTTTGTGTATCTCAGACTGCATTCCAGATATTTCTCTTGCAGTGTTCCCCATCTCAGTATGTAAGGACAGGGGACCCTGTATGTAGGGAAAAGATAGGATGATGGCCTCACTGAGCTTTATTAAAAATTAATAAGGCAGGGCCGGGGGATTCAGCTCAGTGGTTTCGCTGCCTGCTGCACAAGCGGAAGGACCCGAGTTCGATCCCAGGTAGCTCCCCCCCGAAAAATTAATAACACAGCTTTGACTTCAGCAGCCAGATTGAGTAATTTGAAAGACAAGGACAGCTAGATTGGAGCAGTTAGAAAAACAAAGGCAAAAAATGAGGATGTTTGTAGGTAGCACAATTAACATAAGAATTATAAACTTCCCCTTTACTTAATCCTTGAACCTAAACTCCCTGTCCTTAAGGCCCCCAACTATAATCTTACTCTCCACCAGAGCTCAGAGAAAAATCCAAAGTTAGGATGAAAGACAAGCCAGGGGTAGTCAGATTCCAGGAGCCTACCTGGGACAAGGATCTCAGTAAAAAGGAGCTGCAGGCAAAATTCCAGGAGTTACTCATTCTCAGATGCTCCCTGCTCCTCCATTGCCATCTCTCTTATCCCTTTCCCCCAGGTTTAAATAAATAGTCTTTTATTTTAAACTCTGCTTCTTTAGTTCTTCTACTGATGCAGGGTTTACGATTGCCAGGAGCTGCATGTTCCAGCAGAACAGTGGCATGGCATGGGATGATGTGCACTCCGGACACTCAGGACATTACAAGTACATAGTGAAAGGTCGCCGAAGAAGGGGAGCACACACGGACGTTCAAGCAAGCTTTATTGGGGCGGCAGTCTGCAGCCTGCCGGGCTGGCTCACAGAATGGAGACCAGCAACTATGGGCTGAGCTGGAAGCTCATATAGGGATCTTGCAGGTGGGAGAGCACTAGGCCATTGGTGAGGGTGTGTGTAATTGGGGCTGGGGTATGTAGCAACAGGTTTCGGTCGGGGGGATGGAGTCACCGCTTTCAGGAAGCCCCTGTCTCTCTGGAATGTCTGACTCAGAAACCGGTGGGGCAGAAAGACCTTAGCTAGGCAGAGAGTCACTAACAAAGGGAGGTCAGGCCTTAGCTATGCGGAAGTTCCCCGTTCCTTGTGGCCAGAGTGGGGTAAGGGGAAAGGAGAGGAGGGGGCTTGCTCTGTGGGGGCTCTGAATTACCTAACACATAGCATCTAGATTATTTCAGTTGTCAGTGAGGCCTCCCTCACCTCTGTAAGATTGCATATATATATATATATATATATATATTATACACACACACACGCACACGGCGTCTTTCCTCTTTGCGTTATTTTTTCGTATATTCCTTCATTAACATTGGACAAATAGGTTGCAATATGGATAGTGTTTGGAACATAGTATATGCTTGTTGTTGGGTAGTTTGCTTCTAAAAAGTGGCTTGGTGACTAAATGTTGCCAGTGTAGCAGTTGTTTGCCTCTCCTTCCAGAGTTGGATTCCAGGTTCTTCTCGTCTCAAACAAAGAATTGAATGAAATGAGCAAAAAGGAGTGAGTTTATTCGATAAAGTAAAAGTGCAGAGTGGGAAAGAAACTGGCTGTCCAAAGCAAGCTTGGGCTGTGCTGTGTAAATAGAAGAAGAGGGTAAGAGTAAAGATTAAAGAAGTACATTCAGCATGGGCTATCCTGGAAAGCTAAGATAGCATGCTCTTCATGGCTCTCGCCTCTCCTTTTATGCTGCCCTTGAATAATTGGATAATGTGAGGCTATCGAGAACAAGAGGCTTGTAGATTGTGACACTTTATATGTAGAATTTATGCTTATAGGCAATGGGGAGCTGTTCAAGAGTTTTTAGTAGGAACTTTAGAAGCTACAGTGTGTGTGTGAGGGGGAGGCTAGAGCACAGCAACAAGTTAGGAGGTTTATGTTGTGTTGATAAAGTTTGAACTAAGGTGACAACAGTAGAGGCTGGGAATGGAGGTGGCTTTCTGATTGTAGGATGACCTAGGCACACTGTCTGCTTTGTCACTGTTAAGGGGTATGTGCGATTTGACATTTTTGAAGAGAATTAGAACCCTAGGAGAAGATCAGAGTTCAGGTGGACATAAGGAGAGGAGTACTTACTGATCTAGAGTCAGACCTTCCTTTCTCCAGAGGTTGGCTTGGTTGTGCCCCTTAAGTCAAGCTGACCTGATCCTAGGCAGACTGTAATTTGCAGGCTTGGTATAGTGCCCAGTCCTAGGTTTCTTCTGTGCCCGGCACCATCCAGGAGTTGGTAAGAGGATTTGACTGAGGTGGACCTGTGCCTGTGTGATCAACTTATGTGGCCAGCACTGCCACCTGAGAGCTATATGACTTGAACAATGCTTCCCACCTCTAATTTTAGTAAATAAGTGAATTCACAAATGATGTGATCTGGGAAATCTCTTGAGGAAAGGAAGCTTTCTGTTTGATGTTGTTAGTACAATTGAATAAGTAGGAGTTAATTGATGTTTAAAAAGTGGGTTTTCAAAGACTAAATCTGGTTTTGGAAAGGGAAGCTAGTCTTAGTTTAATGTGGTATTACTTAGGACCCCCCCCCGCCCCTATTGGGGATTGAACCCCAGGACTTTTGCACTGAGCTACATGCCTAGCTCTTATTTTTATGTTGAGACAAGGTCTCGCTAAGTCACTGAGTTCCCCAGGTTGGATTCAGACTCAGAATCGGCCTCCAAGTGTTCAGGTATTACAGGTGTACGCCACCATTACTGGTTGTGTTTTACTTAGAATAATATCTATTGGATTAAATCCTTGAAGTTAGTCTTCTAGTGTCAGGGAATCTATGTTAAACATTTTTTGTTGATGTTGTTTCAGAGATTGTGAAAAAAAACATTCTGTAACATTAAAACATTCCCTAAAGTGGACATTATATTGGTCTGCTTTTAACATTGGGGTAGAAAAGTAAATTGGATTTTATTTTCACAAAGTGCTAGATATCGGAATATGCTGTGGTCCATTGCTACTCATTGAAACTGGAGTGTTCAGAGTAGCAGGCATCAAGAAAATACATTAACAGCTGGACCTGGTGGTGTACCCTTGTAATCCCAGCACTCGGAGGCTAAAGCAGGAGGATTGCAAGTTAGCCCATGCAACTTACTGCCTTAAACTAAAAAACAAAAAAAAAGTGCTGGGGATGTAATTCAGTGTGAAGGCCCTGTTCAGTCCCTGGTTCTACAAACAAAGCCATACACACAAAACATACATCAACAGTAAAATCTTTGCAATGGTTAATTTTAACTTACATTCTTTTTTGTGTGGTTCTTTTTTTTGGTACTGGGGATTGAACTCGGGTCCTTGTGCTTGCGTAGCAGGTGGTGAAACCACTGAGCTAAATCCCCAGGCATTAACTTATGTTCTTAATGGTTCAGAGCTACTGAGCCCAGATGTAGAGGTTTTATCTGTTTTAATTCTGTTTGCTCCTTTGTTCGCTGATCTGTATTTTTAAAATCTTGAACCTAAGATATTGTTTCTGGGTTTATTCTTTTATTGTGTAATTAAAGAAACTTTAGTTCCAAGAACGTTATTTCTAGAAATGTATTAATACCTTGGATTTGACTGAAGTTTTCCTAGTGCTTAGTGCTATTGTTGCCACTACTCATTATTTTTGATTCGCATTCATATAAATTTGCTCTTACTCAATAACACTGAGATATGAATGTCCAAGTCAGTAGTCAACTATATTCTTTCTCAAGAAAATGCTCTCAAAAATTGATTTTAATATAATAAGCACTTTTACTTGGGTATCATAATTATAACATTATAACATTAATTTGGAAGCAGCAAGCTTGGATTCAAATTTCGTGAAAACAAACTATTTTTGCCTTCACTGAATGAGTTTATCTATATGTCTTGTACATCTTAAATGCTTAATAAATATGTGTTACATATGTATTATCACAGCTTATTTGTATTGTACCTTAAAACCTTGGTTTGCAAGCATAGTGTGTTCTAGAAACATGCTTGTAATCCAAAACATTTGTATATCAAAGCAAATTTCCCCATAAGAAGTAATGGAAACTTATGATTTGTTCCACAACCCAAAAATATTCATATAAGAATGATTACAGTACTGTAATGTAATACAAAATGTATTGAAAAATAAACAAGTTACCCTGTACTTACCTTTTAAAACCTTTGTGGCTGGTCTAAGGGAGACGAGAGAAGAGAAGTAACACAACTTTGACTATGACTAATGGAATCAGTTATCTGTTGGCTCAATGGAATCTTTTTCTTTTTGTTTAACAAGGAACCTAGCCAATGACACTTGCTTCTGGCTCTTTTTGAGGATTTAATGAAAGATGACGTTGCATTGTTGTTAAACATATTAATCGCTCGCTCTGCTTCAGCCTTCTTGAGGTGGGGCTTTTCTACACAGTTTTGCACTGTTCCCCACATTTTACATATCTCCCTAATCTCATTTGAAGTGAGGGATTCTTCCTCCTTTTTGTCCTCCTCCTCTGCAAATGAGATCTCCACAATGTTGGCAGATGATCATCCACAATCCAGCAGCAAGAGAGAGCAAGAGAACCATTGGCTCAGTTTTGATCATAGGACATTGAGCCTCATGTACTACTCATATTGCAACACATTGCTCATTTATCAGGTTAAAATTTATTAGAAATATTTGCTGGTCTTGCAGAACACTCACTGAATAAGTTACATTCCAAGGTTTTGCTGTAAATAGTTTTGTCACACCTCCCCCATTAACTAATATTCTGAATTGATAACATTATATGTAATAATTCTTTTGTCTTTCTTTAGGTTGGTATTTTGTATGGCATCTGTTTTTGTCTAAATTCAAGTTTCTGCGGGAACTAGTGGGAGACACAGGATCCCAAGAGGGAGATCATGAGCCTTTGGGTTCTGAAACTGAAGAAGATAGTTCATCCTCTCCGCACAAGATGAGATCTGCTCGCCAGAGGAGGGCACCTGCGGATGAAGGCCACTGACTGCAGACACATTCCTTTATCATCCTCAGCAAAAGGCGATCTCACGCCTGTGTCTTCAGCAACTTCACTTTGAAATTTGCTATATGACAGAAGAACATTTGTACTTGGATTTTAAATCCAGTTCCAAAAAAGATGTACGTGTAAGCCATACAGAAATAAAGGGAATTGAAGCCAAATAGGGCCATGAAAATGTCATCTTAAAGGTAATATTTTGCTTCACTAGCTTTCTGCTTAACACAAGCCTAGGCTCTTGTGCTTCTATTTTGCACTGATGTGAGTCTGGTAAAATTTTCAGGCTTGAAAAAAACTTATTTTTTATTTGTCATAAAATGGACTCTGTTCTTCACTTTTTAACATGTCTGAAATGTGGATGCTCCTCATTACAGTCACCCAGGTGATAGTCATGTAATTATCCTAGCTTGCACATGTGTGAATTTACAGCTTATTGTACTGTCATCACCTTAACTGATGTATGTGTTGTTGGCATCAAATGTGTCAGTTTAAGGAGCGTTTTAAAATGTCTTCAAAAAGATAATACTATAACCTGGCATTGAAACGAAAGCTTATCATGTATGCACAAAAGCATGGAAACAGAGCCGTGGGGCATACATTTGATAAAAGTGAAGCAAATATTCATCATTGGAGGAATGATTGAAATTTCATATTTTCTTGCAAAGCAATCACAAAAATACTTGATAGGACCTAAGAAAGGAAGATACCTACAGGTAGATGAAGCTGTACTAGCCTTTATTGGAGAGGCACATGAAAAAGGATTGCCTGTCACATGCCATACGATGCAGTTGAAGGCAGAAGAAATTGCCAGAACCCCTCGAGATCCATAACAAAATTCAGAGCAACAAGAGGCTGGTGTGACTGATTCATGTGTGGAGCAGGACTATTGTTAAGGCATCAAACATTGTTTGGTCCAATGCTTCCCACTGATAATAAACAGAAGACAGCATGGCACGCCCTTTAAAGAAGCGCTCCGTCATCACCAGTACTCTTGACAATACCCAGGGCTGTGCTCTGTGGGGAGATGCAGACACCAGCTGTGACATGAAAAGTGATTCAGAAGAGTTGGACTCGGAATACGAAGTTACAGTTATAACTTAACCAGTGTATTTCACACATTCTTACTGTATACACAAAATAGACATGTTAAGAATCTGTATAACTTTAAAAGCACTGTTAACAATATAAAATAAGCATTGAACTGAAATGAGGCATTGTGTCATAGTGTAATGGACAGTGGTTTTTCTTAGTAATACATATGGTGCATCTTAACTGATGGTATCTTAGAGAATGATAGTTGTATTTCTTTTCAAAATAGTGTTTATTTATTGGGGACTAAATTCTGACTTAGAATATTAAAATTTTTATCTTCTATGAAATGTTTTTTTCATTAACCTATTCAAAATTTTAGAGTAGTATTTTAATCTTAAGAACCATCTTCTACTTCAGGAAGACTAGGAATAGTCACTCCTTTGTATAGGAGGAGTTTATGCTCAAGGCCTGTGTTGTGGAGAAAATACTTCTCCACAGACAATTCAGTGCAAGACCTCAAAGATACTGGGTATTAAAAATATGTGGGTGAAACTACCTGCTTAACTGTAAAATGACCCTTACCAGGTTTCCATGTTTGTCTTAACTGAACTTTGAACAGAGCATTAGCATGAAAGAGAGATAGGAATTGAAGAATTGTTCTGTTTAGTGGTCCCTGCTTTGTACAAGAATGAAATGCAAAGCCAGCTTAGTTTATGAATCTGTGTTCTTTTTATGTTTTTGGCCTTTTTTCTCAAGAACTAGTCATCACCTCTATTTTATGGTGATATTTAAATATGTGTGATACCTCATTCTTCATACTGACAATTTTGTTTATTAACAATCCACTGGCTCTTCCCCAAGTTGTTCTATTCCTCATGAACACCTCTTTGCTGATGCTGTACTAGAAGGGAATTCACAGAGCATAACTGTAGTTTGTATGTTTGCTGGGGGAAGAGTCCCACCAGCTGAGAATGGGGCACAATTATTTTGTCTTCATTTCTGTACTGGCTGTAAATGTGACTGACTGGGGCCTAAAAAGTAGCACGTTTCTAGCATTAATTTTAATGTTTCATATTTTGCTAGTGCTAAATAACATTAAAATTGTCATCAGACAAAAATGTGCAACAGTGTCTTGAGACTTAGCAGATATTTAAATTAGATTTTTCAGTCTGATGTTTTGAACTCTGGATTTTGTTTTATGTTTGTGTTTTAGGGTGGATGTCTAAGGTTTAAATAATAATTGTTGCTGGAAAACTTTAGCTGTCAGGTTTCCTGTTATGTCAGTATTAAAGGACGATGGCTGATGTAACCTTCGCTCCAATCCATAGTTCTGCCCAAATACAAGTTAATCCGTGTAAAGCTGTAGATGTTGGGCACTATTTATTTATCCTTCAAGCGTGTCTTGCTATGTAGAATTTTAAGAAATGTTCTGCTTAACTTACTTGAAATATATACCTAAAAACATGGCTCATACTCCTTGGAGAGAGTAAAAAGAAATGACTGATGCCAATGTGAAGAGTCGACAGACTAATCCTTTATCTAAGCCTTTTTCATTTCATGCACCTGACCTACCATAGTGTATATGTCTAAGGCCAATATGAGAGGGAAGAGAAATAGTTAATGCAGGATTAGTTCTGTGATACGGTGTTTCTGTCCTTTTTCCTGTTTTAGTGCTTTTGTAACTGAACTTACCAGAATGACATTACAATAGCATTTTCAGTCTCTGGAAAGTGGACTAGCCTGTGGTTGATGTTAACATTTAAAAGGTTATGAACATTGAAATTATAAATATTAGAATCTTGCCTGAACTCTTCCCAAAAATGACGGTGATCAAATATGCCATCTTTTTCAGGATTAATTCTAAAATTGTCTCAGGTAGATTGTCTCATTTCTTGCTCACCCAACCATTCCCAAATCTTTTGCCTCTGAAACTTTTTGTGAAAAATTGCCTGTATTGTAGCATTATTCAGATTTTAATGCCAAAAACACTAATTATTTGTATAGCATGTTTAAATGAGGTTTTGAATATTTACATGAACTTAAATATAGAACACTTAATGGATGTTCACAGTGGAAAGAGATGTGTAGTAGACAGCTATTTCACAGACATGTTAACCCATTTCTTTAGATGTCATTAGGGTTAAGAACCATTTCAAATTATTTTGCTGAAAGTTTAGAATATATAAAGTAATGAATTCACAAAATATGACATCTTAAAACATGTTGAAAGATTTTAAAGTAGTGCATTTTTCCTCGTAAGAGTAACAGTTTTGAAGTTATACATCAATGATGCAATCTTTTTTAAAGTCAGTTTTTCTTAAAAGGTATATTTTATGTAACATGTAATCAGTTAACTAGATTTTGCTTGGTAAACTCAGTACTTTTATATTTCAAGTTGGCTTTAAAAAGCCATGAGCAGTCCTCAAAGTTTTTCGGTTATGGAATCTAGAATTAAAGCACCTTGTATTGTCTGGTTTTGAGTGTCCCAGAGTTTAAAAGCATAAAGAATAACATTTTATCTTACATTAAAGTTACATTTCCATTTGTTGTGTCCATGTCATATGAGGAATGTTTAACATTACCCTCCAAGTGAGTTCTATGCATAACCATTTACCAAATACTGCTGATGTGGTTTCTCCAAGGAAGCATCCTGCGCTGTGCTGTGATGCATTGTCATCTTGCTGCTTGACAAATAGGTCTGTAAGGAATTAGAACCGTGTATGTTAACAGTACCTGTGTATAATAAGACATAAAATTAAAGATGAGGAATGTGCGCAAATGATCAATTCAGTGTTTTTTAAATTGGTCAGTACTATATCTAAAGTTGTGGTTTGTATGTTTTAACTTTCATGGCACAGAATAAATTAAAATTAAAACAAACAAGTTGTATATATCTCATTGGTAAAGGATAAGTATGAAGGGCACTTTGGACACAAAGGGATTTTGCGAACAGCCATTTTTACTAAGGGTCCACATTTCACCTCCTAAGAATCGAGAAGGTAACAATGGTGTTCTTCAGTGCTGTCAAAGTAATTGACATAGAACCTAAAGAATGTGTATCCTTAGACCGAAATATATTTACCACATTAACCTTTTTGCTTTCTCATACCCAACACCCTCAGTCACTTTACCATAGATCGTGTCTCACATTTTTGTTAGTATTCACCATGAGGAAGATTGATGAACCTGGGTCAGGCCAAGTAAAAAGATTGAGGCATGCCTTTGAGAACACACTTGAGCTAGGAATCACGAATTTCAATTTTGGGGCCCAAGTTGTGATTTTTCTCGAGCATTGCTCATCTGCCAGATATGTATAGAAAAAAGTGAATTTTGTCAGGATCTGACTTTGAAAGGCAGTCCTGTCTGAAGAGCAGAGTCGTTACAGATTGACCCTGGGATTTGGAGTCAGTTGTAAGAATTGCCAGTAGGCATTGGTAGATTGGATGAGTGGAAATGGATAGGGTTTGAAAATAGTGTGGCATGTGATGGATAGAGTAGGTTTGAGGTGAAGATTAGGATGCCAGAGGTGAAACAGCTCTGGGCAGTGATGCAAACTACAGCCATGGATGGATCAAGGGGAACGTGAGACTCTGACTCACTCTCGGGTGCTGAGTGAGCCATCAGCATGGTCACTAGCACTTCCACGTGATGGCAGAAGTTAGAAGATGACTGAGCTGGGGGCCAGGTCAGGGATGGAGAAGCCTGACCTCAGGGCTAGGGATATCACGTGACTCTTAAAAAGAGGGAGGGGTGTACTGAAAATGGAGTGCTGGGAGGCAGGGGCTGCGAGAACGCTTTCTTCATCCTGGCCCCTGGCAGCTCTGCAAGCCAGTATGTGCATTACTATATCATCTGTAAGTACTTAACTGAGTGAGGAAAATGATGCTGTTCGTGGAGAACTTTGTGGGAGTAAGGGAAGGGAAAGGAGGGAAGAACAGCACAAGCCTCACTAAGAATCTTGAAGGGGTAGAAGTGTTCCAGGCAGAGGACAGGATGATTTTAGCGGAAAAAGCATGTGCAAAGGCAGAGTCATGGGAACATGCCTTGTTGGGAAGCTACTGTATTTCCCCCCAAATAAGACCTAGCTGGAAAATAATCAGCCTTGAAAACTAGAGATCAAAAATGCCAGTCCCAATCAGCGCGTCCTTGCTTTATTGGCAACTTGGTCCAGGAATTGCTCAGTTCATTGGAAAAAGTCAGTTGAAAAAGGGAGTCACAAAAACATACATTCACCCTACACTATTTCTAGGTAAGGCCAAGGCTTTTGTTGGTGAGTTTAGACCCATTAGAGTTGCATCTTTTTCTTTACAAAAGTCAGACTTAATTCTATGATTACTAATAGTTTTGTTCTCTCAGAATTAGAACAAGAACAGAACCTTGTAAAGAGTTTTACTGTATCATCATGGTACCGTAGTTGCAGTTCTATTACGTAATAAGCCCTCAAATTACGGCCTGAACATACTGCTTGGGTTAATTAGGTTAATGTAAGAGTCATCTGTCTTGGGCCAGGAATTTAGCTTAGTGGTTTCACCACCTGCTGCGCAAGCACAAGGACCCGAGTTCGATCCCTGGTACCGAAAGAAAAAGTCATCTGCCTCTTGTTATCTATAGCATGTACCCAGGGAAACATCCAGATCTCAGCTGTATTGACTTACAACCAACTTCAGTTACAACCAGCCCTTGGGAACTGATTGAGTTCGTAAATCAAGGGTGCACTGTACTACATTTTACTATGTAAACAACAGTATGTTTGTAGTTAACTGGAAAATATCCATATTTTATAGTTGCTTTACTGAGGTGGACAGAATCTTTTTATCTTTGAACAGTTTTCTCCAAAACATCCAGCTAAGCATTCATAGAAACAGCAGTCCTCTTTTTCATTGTAATAGTTACTTATGTAATTACAGTATCAGAGCAACTAGAATAAGCAGGTGTGGGGACACGTTCGGTTAAACTTGGAAGTCATTTGCTGAGAACCGAGCCATGTGAGTGTACAGGACAGATCCTCCATCCTTGCCTACGCACCCCACTCTGACAGGGACTGGGCATCTTGCTGCAGATCCAGTCCCAACCGCAGCCTGGAACTCTCACCCTTCTGCAGAATGCCCACACCTGTCTGTACCTGCCCTCTCCTTCCAGAAAGCCTATCTCAAATGAATCCCTCCTGTGGGTTGGATTCCATCTCATCCACCTTTTAGCAAATTGACGCTATCAGTGATTTCTTCTGTGTGTTCAGTCACTCCCTATGAACTGGATTGTCCCTTCAGCACTTAAATGTATTTATTAAATATAAAAGAATGAAGGAAGTGGGCATGGTGGCACATGCCTGTAATTCCAATTCTGGTAGACTGAGACAAAGATGCCAAGTTCTGGCCCATCTTGGGCAATTGAGTGATTTAGAGAGACCTACCTTGTTTCAAAATTAAGGGTGTGAGTGCTGGAGACGCAGCTCAGTGCAAAGGCCCTGGGGTGAAGGAAAGACAGCCCTCCACTTCATACCAGACCCTGCTAAAATAGTTAACCTCTGTGACTCCACTGACACAATTTGAAGGACATTTTCCGGTCCCCAGCTAGGCCTGAGCATGTGTTGTGGTTGCTCGTTCCTTCCTGTCTGCTTGCATAACACTTGAACTCTCCTGACTGCACCAATTTCGTTCCCGCCCACCTGGTCACACCTCCGTCTCCTCGGTTTGCAGCTGTATCTTGCCACTAAGTGCCAAGAGTTCCTGAGCCTAGGTTCCAGCCCTTTCCTTACTCTGGGCTGTTTGTGAGTTCAGCTACTGTCTGTTTGCCAGTGGGGCCCACGACTCTGTCTCTTGCGCCAGCTGCCCTCAGTATCCTCTCAGTAGCTCCTCTTGGCTGTCTTGTGCGCTAGTCATACCCCAAATCTGCAAAGTCAAATTGATTTATAGTATCTTTTCAAATTAAACCTTTTTTCAAGGTTAAATTTATGACTCCCTACACACCTGGTGTTCCTCCAGGGTCCTTACACAGCTGTTTAACATCGATACCTGTCTGCCTGGTCTCCTGTGTCCCATACACCATCAGGCAGGCCTTGCTGATTTGGCTTCTGAAGTAGCTCTTGAAACTTTATGCTTTTGTCCATTTTCTTATTGCTGTCTGTAGGCTGTAGAGTAGGAGTCAGAAATGTGGTCTCGGGAATTAGGATGCTTCACTTTTCGCCTGTAAAATGGGTATGATAGCATGCATGTCACAGGGGGTTCGAGGCAGGGAAGATGACACATTTAGGACTGGGCCCGGTTATACTGACCATTCCCTACCTTTGAAGTGCTTCCGTGGGCTGTGGCCTGTCTCAAATCATCATGATCCCTCTCTAGTCTTTTCTCCATCAGAATGTCTTGTGGAAGAATCTCCCACTTCTTTGCACAGAACAGGTGGATGGTTTTCCACGGCCTTCCCTTGCCAGCGACTTGCTGCGCGACTGCATTGCCAGCCTCTGCCATCACTGCACTTGTGCTCTCCCCGTTCACAGCTACATGGTCCCCACTCACACACGCCCCTCCGTCACTGTAGGTCCTTCCACAGCTGTAGCCTTGCCTCCCTCTCCTTATCTTCTAGTCATTCTTCAGACTTCGGTTCACAAATGCCTGTCTCGGAAAGCTTTCCTGAATAACCCCCCACTCTTTCCAGCCAGTTCCTGTTATAGGTTTTCATGGAATAGGCTTCCTTTTCCTCATTGCTCTGATCCCAGACAACAGTTAAGCATTTGTTGCTGGATTTATTTGATTAAATGCCACCATCCCCACTGTGCTGAGTGAATTAAAGATATAAAATAGCACTTATATTGAAATAACATTTTAGCCTGCAAGCTGCCAGTATTCAATCCTGAGAATCTAAAATCAAAGAGGCCGGATTCGTGCCACTTCCTTCCATCTGCAGACACAGAAAGGTGTGGTAATGAGATGCTTCCTTTGCAAGTCCCTAATGGCTTCTGTACCTTCCGGTCCATTTCACTCCTTATCCCATCTGAACAGGTCAAAGGGTCCTGCTCCGTGCTGTCAGAAGAGCAACCATTGGCCACGAGGTGGCGACCGTTTTCAAGAGTTAGAGGTGAGCACACTTCACTCTGGTTGGTCAGGAATGTGTGTGCATTAAGAGTGCGGATGAGGGGAAGTTTGGTAACTATGGCACCCTGCTCTGGGTCAAAAGTATATTACTTAATCCTCTTTAAGCACTAGAGTGATGAAAGTGGACATTTTGAGTGAAGGGGAGGAGGACAGATTACATCACTGGGCCGGAAGTACAGATAGAAACCTGGAGTGTTCACACAGGGGATCATTTCATCTCGTCCAATGCTGAGGTAAATCAGGTGACAGTATTTACAGTCTCTCTGACTTCCACTGACGGGGGTGGTAAGGTCTGAGAGAAAGGAGTGCTCCCAAAAAACATTTGAACTCCACTTCCCGGCACAGGACTCCAGAAATGAGGCAGTTTCAGGAAAGCAGGTAAAAGATGAGTGATCCGTCCGAAGGCCCATGCATGCCCCTGTTGGGTGCATGGAAATGACATGGTGTTGTGTTGAACATTGCCTTCATTTTGAAAAAGTCTTTTTTCAAATGCAAAGTATGATCAGAACATATGGTGAATGTTTACAGAATAGAAATAATTACTACAGTAGAAGATACATTGTCATTGATCCTCCCAAAAGAACCTACCTCACTTCGAACACATTTATCCCATCATTCTTGCCACTTTCTGGAGCAGTTCTGGAAGTTCTGTCCCATGAGTGTTTGCAGCTGCCTCCATGTCCTGAATCAATTCAAAATGTTTACAGCATCCATTTTCCTATAAATGAGTCAGATTTCTTCTTCATGGCTGAGTTGTACTCCATTATACTCCTGCCTCAGTCTCCTGAGTCC